CATCCTTTTCTCGGACTGGGATCTGTTCATATACGTTCTTGGCAGATGCTCCAGAAGTGGTTTGCCATTGCCTTCTTCTGTGTGTGAATGGAGTAATTGTTGGGATGCCACGGAGAAACCGGGGAAGCCCCCGGAGGAAAACTCCGTGTTGCCTAGACCACGGCCTTGCCCAACACAAGTTATAAATTCGGGCACCGCCGGGAATCGAACCCGAGACCAAAGGATTGCAAGGCCAGCGTTCTAACCGCTAGACCACCGTGGCGGTCCTTGTTTGATTACCACGACTAAAAAGCCAGATCACAGACAAATGTATTTGCTTGGTACATTATGTCAATACAGCAACCATATTAGACGTGTCATGTTATTATAGTTACACAAAAGATGAAAATCAAGTAAGTTCAAATTAGATATGGTTCACACTGTTTGTACTAGCCGAACTTTTTCCAATTTTGCCAACTTCGCTTTAAAAGTAAACTAAAAGTGTAATAAATTTTGTTTTGTTCTTGCCTGCGGAAATATTGCAATCGTTAAAGTTACGTGTCCCTGGGGACACGTAAGCACGAGGCATTAAGTAAAACACATTGCTAAAAAGTTTTGTGTCGTCTAGCCGCGGTGGGAAAAAATCCCTTTATGCTATGAATAAACTAGAAAGACTTACGACAACAAAGCACTGTAAATAAAATGTTTACACATTCACAGCATAAACAAGGAAACTCTACTTTAAGAACTGAGATAGTAAGTTATCTTCATAAAGATCAAAACTTTCTACCGTTAAGACAAGAATATATTTTTTAAGAGTTTAAAAAACGATATTTTTGAAATTTCCTACAATTTCTCACAACATTCAGAAAACAGCAATTTACAAAGTTTTAGCTTGAGTAGAAAAGTCCAAAAAGTTCCTCGCCTTCAAAAACGTACGCCGTTTATTGTCGAAACAACAATCCGTCACAATTTCGAAGCTTCTGTTTTAAAAGAAATTATTTTATCAAAATGCCAAAATTATTTCCCCAACCTAAACACAAAAACGGACACTTCTTACTTTACATCTACAAGGCAGACAGATTATACTGGAAAAGTTCAGTTAGACGATTACATTTAGCAGGAACAGCGGCGTTTAATTCAAATCATCATCTCTACAGGGCGCAGCTGTGGTCACAAATGCGTCGTTCATGATGTCACCACTTTTCCCACTCAGCTGCGAGAGCACCAAACGAAAATAGACAAGGCAATTACTGATTAATATTTAAATACAGCTGTCTTCAGGGTTGTGGTGCCGTGTATCGATCACCCTGATGATGGAGGCAGCAAGAACCTCGTCGGAGAACTTGTAGCAGACTACACGGCGCTACAGCCCTGAAGACCGCCATCTTCACACTCGCCGCCGTGAGAACTTCAAATGTTACTCAGCTGATCATGAAATTCCCTTCCCTAAGGTTAATTACTGTGATAAAAGAAGTCCGCTTTAAACATAATTATTCTGAGCAAGTTTAGTCCAGCTACCTCTTCACATATTATTTTTAAGATACATTTTAATAATACCCTCTCTTTACACATAGATCCCCCAAAACATTTTCTTCCTTTGAAGTTCTCAGATTCAAATTTGCATGCAGTTGTTTCATGCGTGCTAAATGTCCTTATTATCTCACCTTCTCCTCTGTAAGATCTGGGAGGAAACTAGAAATGGTTTTCCATTCGCGTAGCTTGCCAAAAGAAACAATTTTAAAATGTTTTAGTTATATAACTTACAGTTAAACTTAATTGCTGATTAATTCCTGCAAGAAATCTAATAACTCTGTGGTTCTTTCAGTATCAAAGTAATACCTTCGCTGGCTTTCGACAATCTCAACTCGCTGGAGAACTTGAATCTACAGAATAACAAGCTCTCATACATTCCAGAGGAAATAATGGATCCCATCGTGGATACACTCAGGAGCATCGACATAATGGGTAAGACGAACATTTGTTAAGACGATCCAACCCCAATAACGTTAAGAATTCTTGTACCTACAAAAGTATATTAATTAATCTGTACACAAAAAAGCCTAACGCTACACAAATGGCATGTTCCATCCAGGATGTACAACTTATCCATCTGTGTACAGAATGTTCCATTTAAAATATAACCCGAGTACGTAATAATAATAATGTATAAAAATGTCATTTTCTCTTCCAGTCTCCCTGGTGACATTCAAGGTCACCGTGAAGACGTTTATGTGAAGGAGTCAGGGTTGCGTTTTAAATTGAACAATCTCTATTTCTAAGTATCCCACGCGTGCTACATGTCCCATATCAACCTTATTGGTTTCATCACCCTAATAAAGTCCTGTTTATTACTTATTTCTCAGACAACCCATTGGTGTGTGATTGCTCTCTTCGTTGGTATCGTGTATGGCTGCAAAATTTACGAGACAAAGACGATGACGTCATGATAAAGAAGAGAACGCTCTGCATGATGAAAAGCGAGCATCGAGAGTACAAAGTGCAAGAACTGCCTCTGGAGCGCATGCAATGTGTGGGCAAGAACTTGGAGCAGACTTCCAACAGCGACACCACTACGCCACGTGGTTGCTTCAGAATGGTACTGGCCGCTGTCCTCACGAGCGCAGTGGCCACTGCCTGCAACTACCGCCATTGCTTGTAATAACGACAGCAAGCTGAGTACAGAACAACGTTGCTTCGAACGTAAGACGATTATTTCTGAAGCAGTTAAAATAATTAACATTTTGAAACGAAAACGGTGTATTATTTCAAATACAAGGAATGTGTAAAGGGCTGATATGGCGTCGTTAAACAGTCTGCGAACGAATTAACTTATTCAACTTTCCAGCAAGTCTGGAGACCTTATTTACTTCTGTCGACGTGAAGTTAGGAGGAACTTGATAAAGATTTGAAATTCGGATTTTTATTTCAGAAACGTTAAAAATATGAAGTCTTAAGTCCGAAACAATATGCACTGGCACTAAAAGAACCAAGACAAGAAAAGAAACAGCTCGTGTTTATAAAATTCTAAGATAAAAGGAATGAACTGGATCTCTAAATAGACAAATTCGCAGGAAAAACAAAACGAGATTTGATCGGGGCATTAATTCATCTACTTAACGCGATGTAAACTACCAACACCGACTCTAAGTCTTTGTTAAGCAAGTTCTCTGTCCTTTATTTTGATTTTATGTAAATTATTAATTGTAGCAGCATATTTTCATCAAAGTTTCTCAAACTTCCGTTCAAAAAAGTTCCATATAGTGTGGCCCAAGAGAGATAAAACGTTACTAGCACAAATATTTTAAACTCTGGAATATATAAAATTAAAAGATTCATCGTATGTAAATGCCAGTGTACACATTCACACGCAACAAACTTCCACATACAACGATGTATAGAAATCCTTTAGCATCCGTCACTGAAGAATACATAATGAGACTAATGTTTACGTTCTCCACAACGCTGTCTTATTTGTATTCACTATAAGTCTGACTTTCAAACGTTTTATCATCAACCTGAAACGTTTCGTGTTTAATAATACGAATTAATTCATCACAGTGTTTAATAACCTAGGATTATAATTATAGTATGAGTTAATTAACACTACAAATTATATTTATAATCCTAGGTTAGAAAATACGGTGATTAAAAAAACCAAGATGATTTCAAAAATACTGTAGACGAAGCATTTTATATCATTAATACATAATGTTTTTATTTAGCAGTCAGTTAAAACCGTGAAGAGAGTTTTCCTTTTGTATTTACTAAAGTAAACACATAGTTTTCTAGTATTCATCAAAATATCAATGTGTTACTGAAGTCAAATTAGACGTTGCCACGTTCATCAATAAAATTGACGTAATGGGTGACTGTGAATTTGTCTAAAAGGGAACTAACAATTACCATGAACTAAATCTCTCAGTAGTTCGTTCAGGAGAAAATTCCTCTCTATTTCACCCACTAAATTATCGTCGGTTTTTAAAATTAAGAGTTGATCAAATTGTTACGAAATATATTCCAGATGCATTCACCTGCTCTGTACCTACGATGTTGGGGTTGTACATAAGAAATAATCAGCATAATATAAAGTAAAGTAAAGTTTGTCCCACTATACGCTATGTAGGCGTTTGGGGTGAGAGGAGGTATAGCTCCTCTCTTCCTTGACCTCGGGACTAGA